AAAAAAAAAAAGCTTTCCACCGCTCTCTCAAGGCATATGCCCTACCTTTACTGTGAAACCGTGCTGTAAAGGCAAGGTAAAGAGAAAAGAGACGACAGGCAGAGGGAAGGTGGACATGGGGTTTGGTCCTCTGAGATTCTGCAATACTGCATAGACATGTCTTAACAAGACACCTTTCCAGGTGCTCATCCTGTTCCTCCATCAGGCTCCAGGGGTCCCTGCTGTCCCCATGAGGGGGTCGGCCCCCTCGACGGGCTCCTGAGTGGGGGTCTGGTTGTTGGGTTCAGCCGTGATGACGATGGTGTTCTCGTCCACCAGCTCGCAGGTGGGGTTGGCAAAGGCTGAGAGAGGAAGAGTGATGCGATGCATCTCACGCTCATAAACCCGCTGCTCGTGCTGTTTCTTGAGGTCACGACCCCTACGGGACAAAACACAAAACCATTTCATTTCACCCACTGCCAGGTTTAGTCATGTTTTTGTCACTCATCAACTGAATGAATAATAGAATGGGGTATAAAAGTCAGACACCACAAGTAAAAAAAAAATTATTTTTTTCAACGTTCTAAATTGTAAATCTTTTTTTTTTTTGTACATTTAAGATATTTTCCATTACAAATTCTTCAGCATTACAAATTTGAGTGAAAAGTTTCATAAAACATTGTGCTGTTCAAATGTTTCTTCTTAGACATAAGGAAGTTTATCATGTTTGTCTGGATATAGTGATTTTCGTAAATTAATAAATGCATATTTTCAAAATTTATACTGTATCACATGACTTTAGTAACTTAATATTTTGAATTGGATGAAGAAAAAAAGTGACTTGGTACTAGACAGTCTTTTGACCATTGAAATAATTAAAATCATATTTAATTAAAAGCTTGATTAAAAGTGTAATGATTCTTAAGTTTGGTTTAAATTTTGTGACCTGAAAAACAAAAAGTGAACTGTTACACTGTAATTTTATGCATTCACGCATCAAATCCTTTGTGCCTGACCCCTGTGGAAATGATAGTGAATGGAAATTATGTGTCATTATATGTTATGTCGTCATGATCTTTGATTAAAGATGATAGTACTTTAACCGTTAAGACCCTGTTTGTTAAACTGCTCCAAAGAGAGTTTTCCAAATTCATACTTTCGGTCTCGGAAACACAGACTCGAAGAACCACTCTGAATTACATAATCTGAATTACATAATCAAAAAGAACGACTTATTCAACAGTGTTTCCACTTTATTTCCTCTGAATATTATTTCCGTTTCTAATATATCCATTCAAGCTAGACTGTAATATTTAACAGTGACACACTACAGACAGAAGGAGTGATTTGTCTCCAGTATTGCCTATTTTTAGACAAATGCTCTAGTGGAGAGGACCAGCTCTAATTCGTCACTCGCTGCCAAGGAAGAAACTGATCTCGATCACCATCCTTTGCCGTTTCATGAAAATGGCAGTTGAATGTTGGAGAAATCTCATATTGCTAAACAAACCC